TCCGCCTGCCTTGGCCTCCCAAAGTGCTGGGATTACAGGCGTGAGCCACCGAGCGTGGTTTTTTTTTTTTTTTTTTTTTTTTTTTCTTTTTCCAGAAAGCTTCAGTGCAGTGGTGTGATCATGGCTCACTGCAGTCTCAGTCTCCTACCTCATCCTGAGTAGCTGAGACTACATGCATGTGCCATCACAACTAGCTAATTTTTAAAAATTTGGACTGGGTGTGGTAGCTCACACTGTAATCCCAGCACTTTGGGAGGTTGAGACGGGTGGATCACATGAGGTCAGGAGTTTGAGACCAGCCTGGCCAACATGGTGAAACCCTGTGTCTGCTAAAGATACAAAAATTAGCCGGGTGTGGTAGTGCATGCCTGTAGTCTCAGCTACTCAGGAGGATGAGGCAGAAGAATTGCTTGCACCCAGGAGGCGGAGCTTTCAGTGAGCTAAGATCATGCCACTGCACTGCAGTCTGGGCAACAAGAGTAAAACTCTGTCTCAAAAAAAAAAAATTGTTCTAGTGGCGAGGTCTTGCTATGTTGCCTAGGCTGGTCTCAAACTGCTGGGCTCAAGTGATCCTCTGGCCTTGGCCTCCAAAAGTGCTGAGAGCCACCAGCACTCCACAGTCACAAGCCATTCACTGGGTCTGGCCTGTCCTATGTGTTTTACAAGTTGGATCTCTTCAACTTCACAAACGCTCTTGTGGAAAGGATGTTCTTGTCCTTGTTTTACAAATGAGGAAACCAGGCACAGGGTGGTGAGGCCACTCCCCTAGGGTTGCAGGTACCAAGGGGAAGAGCTGGGATTCAAACCTAGACAGCCTGCCTCACTGCAGAGCCTGCCTCCCCCGCTATGCTCTCCTGCCTCCCACTCTGTAATCTGAAATCATCTCATTCATTTATTTGTTTACTGTTTGTCTCCCCTGACCCACTAGGGCCTCACTCCATGAGGCCAAGGCCTCGGCTGTCCTCTGTGCACTGCTTCCAGAGCTGGGAACATGGTGCATCTCTCTCATTGGTCACTTCTGGAGGTTGCTAGGGACCAACTCATTATTCTGAAAACTGTTTTTATCTTGCCTTCTCTGTACAAATTATACCTCAGGGTAACTGAACGGTTACAGAAAGAAAGCTCTTTTTAGAAGCATTCCAACCAATACATGAAGAAGGAATGACAGAATGAAGATGGCACTCGTCTGCAAGCTGTCATGAAATGATGGATCTAGGCCGTGCCCAGCAGTGGCTGCTTGGCTGTGAAACAGGGCTGAAGGGGACGTGTGGTGATGCTAGGTGCCGCTGTCTGAAGCCTATGCTCGCCTTTAGTGTCACTTGCAGAGGGACACCAGGCACGCAGTGCCTTCTTGCAGATGCATACCTAGGAGTGCTGCGGCCGAAAGACATCACATTGGGGCCTGAGCAAGCTTCCATCTTTGACTCTAGTTTACAGAAAATACCAGTGGTGGAGCAACAGGCTAAAGAACACCATGGGGAGGCCACCAGCTAAAGCCAGGAAGGGGGAAATTCCAAGGACAGGCGACCTGGTTTCTTTCCAAAATAAACTGCAAGGAAAAGGCGAGGCGCGGTGGCTCATGTCTGTAATCCCAGCACTTTGGGAGGCTGTGGCGGGCAGATCACCTGAGGTCAGGAGTTCAAGACCAGCCTGGGAAGCATGGTGAAACCCCGTTTCTACGAAAAACCCGAAATTTAGCCAGGCATGGTGCTGCACGCCTGTAGTCCCAGCTAATCAGGAGGCTGACACAGGAGAATCACTTGAACCCAGGAGGCAGAGGCTGCAGTGAGCCGAGATTGTGCCACTGCACTCCAGCCTGGGTAACAGAGCGAGACTCTGTCTCAAAGGAAAAAAAAAGAGCCTCGAGAGATACATCAATCAAATGCAATAGGAGAATTCTTTTTTTGTTGAGACGGAGCTTCATTCTTGTTGCCCAGGCTGAGTACAATGGCGCAATCTCAGTTCACCGCAACCTCTGCCTCCCAGATTCAAGCGATTCTCCTGCCTCAGCCTCCTGAGTAGCTGGGATTACAGGCATGCGCCACCACGCCCAGCTAATTTTGTATTTTTAGTAGAGACAGTGTTTCTCCCTGTTGGTCAGGCTGGTCTTGAACTCCAGTTTGGTTCAGGCTGGTCTTGAACTCCCACCTGGTGATCCACCCGCCTTGACCTCCCAAAGTGCTGGGATTACAGGCGTGAGTCACTGTACCCTGCCTAATAGGAGAATTCTGATGAACAACTGTTAAAAAAAAACCAAAGAGATGAGGTCTCCCTCTGTTGCCCAGGCTGGAGTACAGTGGCACAATCATGGCTTCCTGTAGCTTCAGCTTCCTGGGCTCAAGTGATCCTCCCACCTCAGCCTGAAAATAGCTGGGGTTACAAATGCACTATTTTTTTTTTCCTTTGGGCAGAGATGCAGACATGGGGGTCTCACTGTGTTGGCTAGGCTGGGTCTTGAACTCCTGGCCTCAAGTGATCTTCCCACCTCAGCCTCCCAAAGTGTTATGATTATAGGTGTGAACCCAGCCTAGATAGTTGACACTAAGAAATTACTGTTGGCTGGGCGCAGTGGCTCACGCCTGCTAACCCCAGCACTTTGGGAGGCCGAGGCGGATGGATCATGAGGTCAAGAGATTGAGACCATCCTGGACAACATGGCGAAACCCCGTGTCTACTAAAAATACAAAAATTAGCTGAGCATGGTGGCACGTGCTGGTAGTCCCAGCTACTTGGGAGGCTGAGGCAGGAGAATCGCTTGAACCCGGGAGGCAGAGGTTGCAATGAGCCGAGATAGCGCCAATGCACTCCAGCCTGGCAATAGAGCGAGACTCCATCTCACAAAAAAAAAAAAAAAGAAAGAAAGAAAAAGAAAATACTGTTAAGGCCAGGTGTGGTGGCTCAAGCCTGTAATCCCAGTACTTTGGGAGGCCCACGCAGGCAGATCACTTGAGGTCAGGAGTTGAGACCAGCCTGGCCAACATGGGGAAGCCCTGTCTCTACCAAAAAATACAAACATTAGCTGGGCATGGTGGCACATGTCTGTAGTTCCAGCCTCTCGGGAGGCTGAGGCTGAGGCAGGAGAATCACTTGAACCGGGAGGTGGAGGTTGCACTGAGCCGAGATGGTGCCACTGCACTCCAGCCTGGGCAACAGAGTGAGACTCCATCTCAAAAAAAAAAAAAAAAAAAAAAAATTAATAAAATAAACAAATAAAACACAAACAAACAAAAAACAAGAAATACATGAAATTACTGCTAAATTTGTTAGGTGTAATTTTTTAAAAAAGGTCTTTATTGTATAGAGGCTCATTCCAGGATCTGGAATTGTTTTAGATAATCTAAGGTGACAGGTGGGGCAGGAAGAGGATATGGAGATAATACAACAAAAAAACGAAAACCTGGCCGCATGTTGGTAAGTGCTCAGAGGGCCCAGTATACTTTTGTTCCCCCCAGTAGGATATTTCCTTTTATTTCTTATATTTCTTTTTTTTGAGACAGAGTCTTGCTCTCTCTCCCAGGCTGGAGTGCAGTGGCGTGATCTCGGCTCACTGCAACCTCTGCCTCCTAGGTTCATGCCATTCTCCTGCCTCAACCTCCTGAGTAGCTGGGACTACAGGCGCCCGCCACTACACCCGGCTAATTTTTTGTATTTTTTAGTAGAGACGGGGTTTCACCATGTTAGCCAGGATGGTCTCCATCTCCCGACCTCGTGATCCGCCCGTCTCGGCCTCCCAGAGTGCTGGGATTACAGGCGTGAGCCACTGCGCCCAGCCTTATTTCTTTTTAATTTTGGTGGGTACATAGTAGGTGTATATATTTATGGGGTACATGATATGTTTTGATACTTGTAATACACTTTATGTTTGAGATGTTCCATTAAAAAATGAAACAGCCTGGGGAGGCTCAGCACTTTGGGAGGCTGAGGCAGGCAGATCACCTGAGGTCAGGAATTCAAGACAGTCTGGGCCACATGGTGAAACTCCGTCTCTCCTAAAAATACAAAAATTAGCTGGGCATGGTGGCACGCGCCTGTAGTCCCAGCTACTTGGGAGGCTAAGGTAGGAGAATCGCTTGAACCTGGGAGGTGAAGGTTGCAGTGAGTTGAGATCATGCCACTGCACTCCAGCCTGGGTGACAGAGCGAGACTCCATCTTAAAACAAAACAAAAAAACAAAACAAAATAAATAAGTCACCTACCAGCTTCCCACTGTGCATGGAATAAAACCTAAACTTCTCCCATGGCTCAGGAAGCCCACGTCATCTGCCTGGTCACCTCTCTGTGCTTTGCTCCCAGCTCTCACTCCTGCTTGCTCTGCTCCAGCCACACCGCCCTCCCTGCACTCCAGGAACGCACCACCCATGTTGGGGAGGCTCTGCCCTGGCCAGCTCCCATCAGGAGCCCACTGACCAGAAAACCACATGGCTGCCTCCCCATGGAGCCTTCTCTGCCTGCCTTGTAAGTAGCTCTCCCACTGTGCTGCAGCCCCTTCGTTACCCGGCTTTAATTCCCTTCTGAGACTTTGCACTACCTGATCCTGTGTGACACACCTATTTCTTCACGGCCTGTCTTTCCCTGTAGAACACAAACCCCAAAGGAGCAGGCACTTTGTTGTGGTCACTTTGAACAGAGCTTGCACATAGCAGGGGCTCAATAAACACATTTTGAACAAGTGAATGAAGTGTGGGGGGCCCACAGGCAAGCGACTATTAACATTGTGTGCTTCATGCAGACAACAGGAAGAATGAGGTTCTCCCTTCACAGGGCAACTGTGGAGATTAAATGGGATCATGCATATGTGAAGGGCTAAACCAGTAACTGGCATACAGTAAGCACTCTGTAGATGCGCCCTCCCCATCCTGTCACCATTGCCATTATTCCTGCCTAGAAGGGCCTGCCTATGCCCCCTCTATTGGGACCTCAAGTGACAGTCCCAGGGAGGTCTCATGCCAGCGATCTGGGAGCTGCCACCCACCACCCGGCTGAAAGGCGGAGGCCCTTACCTCCGGGGTGTGCCGTCCTCGAAAGGCGGGATGATGACCACCTTCACGGTGACAGAGGTGCGCAGCAGGTCGATCATCTGGTCGTGGGTCAATGTGACCACGGCCACCTTGCAGATCTCCACCAGTCGGCTGCCCTGCCGGAGGCCAGCCTGCCAGGCGAACCCGTAGTCCTCGACCTCGGCCACTGTGCCGTCGTACTTCACGTGGAAGCCCAGCTGCCCGAGCCCGTTCCGCCGCAGCGTCATGTCCACCGTCTCCCAGCCATTGGTCATCACCTGCAGGCCACAGGCAGGATCGAGCCTCAGAAGCTGCCTGGGTCAGCTTCCCTGCTTTGAGGTCAAAAACCTGCTGACTCCCATCTATTAATACCTTCCTGGGCGATGGCAGGAGACCTGAAGGGGGAACACGCACCTGGTCCCAGCCCGGCTTCCTGATTTCTGGAGGGGAAATGTGGCTATGCGACCCAGTGGCTTCTAACCTTGCAGAGACAATGGTGGTCATGAGCTATGGCTCCAAAGGCCCCGACCTCCCTCCTTCTTGGGGTCAATGGGATTGCACTTCCTGGCTCCTTTGTGGTTGGGTAGGGCCCTGGGACTTGTTTTGGCCAATGAATTGCGAGTGGCACTGGCATGTCCTCTGGGCTGTGGTATTTGTTTATTTTATCATTATTTATTTATTTTTGAGACAGAGACTCACTCTGTCACCCAGGCTGCAGTGCAGTGGCATGATCTCAGCTTACTGCAATGTCTGCCTCCTGGGTTCAAGTGATTCTCCTGCCTCAGCCTTCCGAGTAGCTGGGATTACAAGTGTGTGCTACCACGCCTGGCTAATTTTGGTATTTTTAGTAGAGACGGGGTTTTACCATGTTGGCCAGGCTGGTCTCGAACTCCTGACCTCAAGTGATCCACCCGTCTTGGCCTCCCAAAGTGCTGGGATTACAGGCGTGAGCCACCACACCTGGCCAAGAAAAGGAATAATTTTATGTCACAAACTACTCTACACAGTCGCATTTTACACACATGCCCACAGACACAAATATTCCTTGCAATTCGAATCTGTCACATTCTTGAGTGTGGATAGCAAGAAGTAAGAGTTTGGATGGTAAAGGACTTACCTGAAAATGTCACTAAATCTGTTTGGTTCCTGATTTGGATGGTGAGAATTTGGAAAGTGGGGGAAACATGTATGACCAAAACAATGCTTCATAAAATAGTCTTATCTTTACTCACTGAGGCACACTGTGACACTTTTTATTGTTTCCCATACTATTACTATGGCAGAACCCTTATAAAGGGGATCAGTGCCCATATAAAAGAGGCCTGACACGGTGGTGCATGCCTGTAATCCCAGCTACTCGGAAGGCTGACACAGGAGAATCACTTGAACCTGGGAGGTGGAGGTTGCAGTGAGCTAAGATTGCGCCATTGCACTCCAGCCTGGGCGACAGAGTGAGACTGTCTCAAAAAAAAAAAAAAAAAAAAAAGAGGTATGAGGAACTTGGTCTGCACCTCTTCTTCACGCATTGACAGCAGAAGGTGCCATCTGTGAATTTTGAAAGAGGCCTTTCTGCCAGATGTTGAGGCCTGCAGGTGCCTTTATCTTGGACTTCCTGGCTTCTGGAACTGCGAAGAAATAAATTTCTCGACAGAGTGAGACTGTCTCAAAAAAAAAAAAAAAAAAAAAAAAGGAGGCCCAAGGAACTTGTTCATCTCTTCCACCGTGACAGCAAGAAGGTGCCATCTGTGAATTTGAAAGGGGCCCTCACCAGATATTGAACCTGCAGGTGCCTTTATCTTGGACTTCCTGGCTTCTGGAACTGCGAAGAAATAAATTTCTCTAGCTTATAAACTACCCAGTCTAAGGTATGTTGTTATATTCAGGATAAATGGACTAAGACATCTAACCTTTAACATGTTGCAACTCAGGATGAGTGCAGAGCCTCACGCCTGTAGTCTCAGCACTTTCCCAGGCCAAGGCAGGAGGACTGCTTAAGCCCAGGAATTCAAGATGAGCCTGGGCAACATAGCAAGACCTCCTCTCCACTGAAAAAAAAAAAAAAATTAGTTGAACATGGTGGCATACTCTTGCAACCCCAGCTACTTGGGAGGCTAAGGTGCAAAGCAGGCTTGAGCCCAGGAGAGTGACGCTGTAATGAGCAATGACTGTGCCACTGCACTCCAGCCGGGGTGAGAGCAAGACCTTGTCTTTAAAAATAAAAATTAAAATAAAAAATTAAAAAAAATTATGTCTCTGTGATTGATTTTATAGTCCATCCATGGGTGACAATGTGTTTATTTGACAATAAGGAATTATCGTTAATTTTTTATTTTATGCATGATGACAAGATACTTATGTTTTAAGAGTTTGTATCTTTTAGAAATAAATATTGAAGAGTTTACAGATGAAATGATAGGATGTCTAGGATTTGCTTCAAAATAATTGGGAAAGAGAGGGAAGGAAGAAAGAAACAAGATCAGCCATGGGTCAGTAACTGCTGAGGCTGGGCTGGTGATGAAGATTTGGGTTCTTTTTTTTTTTTGAGACGGAGTTTCACTCTTGTTGCCCAGGCTGGAGTGCAGTGGCGCAATCTCGGCTCACCACAACCTCCACTTCCCAGGTTCAAGCAATTCTCCTGCCTCAGCCTCCCGAGTAGCTGGGATTATAGGCGTGCTAATTTTGTATTTTTAGTAGAGATGGGGTTTCTCCATGTTGGTCAGGCTGGTCTCAAACTCCGGACCTCTGGTGATCCACCTGCCTTGGCCTCCCAAAGTGCTGGGATTACAGGTGTGAGCCACTATGCCCGGCCAAGACTGGGCTTCTTATACGATTCCTCTTGCTTTAGTGTATGCTTGCAATTTTCTATAATTAAAAAGTAAAATTCGGCCGGGCGCGGTGGCTCATGCCTGTAATCCCAGCACTTTGGGAGGCTGAGGCGGGCAGATCACGAGGTCAGGAGATAGAGACCATCCTGGCTATCTGGTGAAACCCTGTCTCTACTAAAAATACAAAAAAAAAAATTAGCTGGATGTGGTGGCGGGCGCCTGTAGTCCCAGCTACTCGGGAGGCTGAGGCAGGAGAATGGCGTGAACCCAGGAGGTGGAGCTTGCAGTGAGCCGAGATCACCTGCCACTGCACTCCACCCTGGGCGACAGAGCAAGACTCTGTCTCAGAAAAAAAAAAAAAGTAAAATTGGGCTGGGTGCCATGTCTCATGCCTGCAATTCCAGCACTTTGGGAGGCTGAGGTGGGAGGATCACCTGAGGTCAGGAGTTCAAGACCAGCCTGGGCAATATGGTGAAACCCTATCTCTAGTAAAAAAAAAAAAAAGTACGAAATTAGCTGGGCGTGGTGGTGCACACCTGTAATCCCAGCTACTTGGGAGGCTGAGGCAGGAAGATCACTTGAACCCGGGAGGCAGAGGTTGCAGTGAGCTGAGATCGCGCCAATGCACTCCAGTCTGGGAGACAGGGTGAGACTCCATCTCAAAAAAAAAAAAACCCACAAAAAAGTAAAATTCATTTGAAAGCAAAGGTGTAGCTTAGTGCCTCAGAAGAGAAAGCTGTGGCTGGATTCGTCCTAGCCCATTCCTTCTGCTCTGGGAGTCAAAATTCTTCTTCCCTTTGAAGCTGTCACTCTTGTGTCCAAGGAGTTTGGCTGTGGGTTATTAAGCAAAGTCCTGTGTGTCTGTGCCCACAATCAATTAGGCCACACCAGCCCTCAGAGTCGCGGGCGGTTCCTTGGAAGGCCCGACCTTCCATAGAGTCCAGAGAGAGAGAGTAGGCAACAGCTCAGCAAACACTGCTGTAGCAAGGCCTGCCAATGCTGTTTGCTTTCCATTCCCCCTGCCTCTGCCTTTTGGTAATTAGGTCCAGGCCTCCTCTGTAAAACAGAGTTTTGATGGGCACGTGGCCACCAAGTTGGGGACCACATTTCTCTGCTTCCTTTGTAGCGGGTATGGACAGATGACTCAGTTTTGACCAACAAGATATGAAGTGATGAAACTTCTACGTCATGTTCTTTCTTTTCTTTTCTTTTTATTTTTAGAGACGGAGTCTCGCTCTTGTCATCCAGACTGGAGTGTAGTGGTGCGATCTCAGCGCACTGCAACCTCCGCCTCCCAGGATCAAGTGATTCTCCTGCCTTAGCCTCTCCCCAGTAGCTGGGATTACAGGCGCCACCCACCACGCCCAGCTTTTTGTATTTTTAGTAGAGACTGGGTTTTACCACGTTGGCCAGGCTGGTCTCGAACTCCTGACCTCAGGTGATCCGCCTGCCTTGGCCTCCCAAAGTGCTGGGATTATAGGCAAGAGCCACTGCGCCCGTTTTTTTTTTTTTTTTTTTGGTAGAGATGGGGTCTCGCTCTGTTGCCCAGGCTGGTCTTGAACTCCTGGCCTCAAGCAATCCTCTCACCTCAGCCTCCCAAAGCTCTGGGATTACAGGCGTGAGGTACTGCATCCAGCCAAAATCCTCTAAATCAGGGATGTCCAATCTTTTGGCTTCCCTGGGCCACATTGGAAGAAGAACTGTCTTGGGGCCAGGTGCAATGGCTCACATCTCTAGTCCCAGCACTTTGGGAAACTAGGCCGGTGGATTGCCTGAGGTCAGGAGTTTGAGACCAGCCTGGTCAACACGACAAAACCCCGTCTCTACTAAAAATACAAAAATTAGCTGGGCATGGTGTTTCACGCCTGTAATTCCAGCTACTTGGGAGGCTGAGGCATAAGAATCGCTTGAACCTGGGAGGTCGAGGTTGCAGTGAGCCAAGATTGCACCAATGCACTCCAGCCTGGGCGACCAGAGCGAGACTCTGTCTCAAAGAAAAAAAAAAGAATCGTCTTGGGCCTCACACGAAATACACTAATGCTAATGATAGCTGATAAGCTTAAAAAAAAAAATCACAAAAAAATTCATAATGTCATAATGTTTTAAGAAAGTTTATGAATTTGTGTTGGGTGCCATTCAAAGCCGTCTTGGGCTGCAGGTTGGACAAGCTTGCTCTAAATGTTAAACTCTGGTAACTAACTTAATATGTCTGGGATTGTATCCAACCCATGGATTTGAGACCTTCTCCTTGTCTGATTCAGCACCATCTGATAGGTTCTCCTGGCATCCTCCACACCCCCCTTTCAAGCTCTTGGCACATGTAACTGTGTGTTTAATATCTGTCCCAGAGAGGTGCCCCATGAAAGTAGGCCTGGGTCTGTTATGGTCACTGCTATGTCCCAGTACTGCCCAGGCCAAGGCCAGGCACATAGTAACACTCACTCAATTAACCAGTGATGGAATACCATTAGTTCAGGATGTCTGGGGCAGTCAAGTCAGCCTGCCGGGGATAGTGTGGAATCTGTACCCTGTGGGTGCTTCACAAAGAGAGAAACTTGCAGTCATGAGTCATTCAAGGTGGGCCTGCCCCTTCATGGGAGATGGCTTATGTCACCATTCCCTGGCCCACTGGTTCCCCAGCAGGTTCTGGGGCGTTGAGACTGGGGGTGGGGGTGGGGGTATGGCTGTGGAAATGTGCTCTAAAAGGACTCCGCCAACAGTAGGCACGGGGGTGGGCGTGGGACAAAGTAGCAGTGAGGATGTGGGTAAAACATGTCACCTGGCACAGTGCCTGGCATGGTCGCTGCTTAAAAAACGCGAGCTGCTGTGAGGATTAGGGGAGGTGGAGTAGCCTAGCGTTTAAGAACCCAGGCTTGGCCAGGCACAGTGGCTCAGGCCTGTAATCGCAGCACTTTGGGAGGCCAAGACGGGTGGATCACTTGAGGCCAGGAGTTCGAGAACAGCCTGGCCAACATGGCAAAACCCCATCTCTATTAAAAATGCAAAAATTAGCTGGGTGTGGTGGCGGGCGCCTGTAGTCCCAGCTACTTGGGGGGCTGAGACAGGAGAATTGCTTGAACCCGGGAGGTGGACGTTGCAGTGAGCTGAGATCGCACTGCTGCACTCCAGCCTGGGGGACAGAGCAAGACTCCGTCTCAAAAAACAAAACAAAATGAAAAATCCGAAAACCCAGGATCTTTGGGCTCTGGGCAAGTCAAAGTATCTCTGGGCCTGTTTCCTCATCTGCGAAGTGAGGAGGAGAATGGTGTCTACCTCATCAGGTTTTTGTGAGCAAGAGACACAAAACCACCCAAGGTGCTGAGCAGGGTCTGACGCACGGCTGGCGCCTACTTGAAGCTCGCTATTATGGCTGTTGCAGCGTACAATGCATTCGTGCCTGCACTCAGTTCCTGCTCACTCAGCGGCTACTGTGCACCAGATGCTGGCCTAGGTGCTGAGGACATGGCAGTGAACACATAACGCACAGTGCATGGCAGACGGTGGTTAAGCAGGCAAAGCGGGAGAAAGTGCTCCAAGCCAGGGGAGGGGGTGTGCAATCTTAGATAACAAGGGCTCACTGACAAGGCAACATGTGACCAAAGGCCTGTAGGAGGAAACGGAGCGAGCCATGTGGTGATCAGAGCAGTGTTCAGTGAGAGGCACAGGCAGTACAAAGGCCCTGAGGCTGGACACCGTCCTAGCATGCACATGAAATCCCAGAGGTCTGCATGGCTGGGGCAGAGACAGCAACAGGGACATGAGGTCAGAGAAGTCGACAGGGAGTCAGGTCACACCCAGCCTCATGGGCTTCGATAAGGACTGAGACTTTAACCTAGAGTGACCTGAGGGTTTAGAGTAGAGAGGTGATGTGATCAGATTGCTCTCACTACCATGTTGAGAACAGGCCACAGAGAAGCAAGGGCAGGGGCAAGAAGGACCAGAAAGGACACTACCTAAAGTGTCCGGGAGAGACCAGGTTGGCTGGCGCCAGGGTGGGGGCTGTGGGAGAGGCAGTTGGCGTCTGCCTGCGGAAGTGGAGCTGACGAATGTGGGCATGAGAGAGAGTAGAGCCCAGGCTGATGCCAAGGCTCTGACATCTGCAAACGGAGGGATAGACTCGACCTTTTTTTCCCTAAAACCTTATTTGAGTAGAGGACTTCTGTTTTACGAAGTCAGGAAACCTCTGAGAGGGGTGGGGAGAAGCATTGGAGTTTGCTTTTGTTTGTTTTGAGACGGAGTCTTGCTCTGTCACCCAGGTTGGAGTACAGTGGCTTACTCTCGGCTTACTGCAACCTCTGCCTCTCGGGTTCAAGCATTTCTCCTCCCTTAGCCTCCTGAGTAGCTGGGATTACAGGTGTATGCCATCACGCCTGGCTAATTTTTGTATTTTTAGTAGAGATAGGGTTTTACCATGTTGGCCAGGCTGATCTCAAACTCCTAACCTGAAATAATCCATCCACCTCGGCCTCCCCAAGTGCTGGGATTACAGGTGTGAGCCACCACGCCTAGTCACTTTTTCATTTTCATTTTTTTTTTTTGAGTCGGGGTCTTTCTCTGTTGCTGAGGTTGGAGTGCAGTGGTGTGATCATAGCTTGCTGCAGCCTCAAACTCCTGGGCTCAAGTGATCATCCCATTCAGCCTCCTGAATAGTTGAGGCCACAAGTATGCACCACCATGCCCAGCTAATTTATTTTTTAGTTTTATTTTTTGAGAAAGAGTCTTGCACTGTCACCCAGGCTGGAGTGCAGTGGCGAGATCTCTGCTCACTACAAGCTCCGCCTTCTGGGTTCACGCCATTCTCCTGCCTCAGCCTCCCGAGTAGCTGGGACTACATGCGCCCGCCACCATGCACGGCTAATTTTTTGTATTTTTAGTAGAGATGGGGTTTCACCGTATTAGCCAGGATGGTCTTGATCTCCTGACCCTGTGATCCGCCTGTCTCGGCTAATTTATTTAAAAATTTTTTTTAGAAACAGGGTCTCACTATATTGCCCAGGCTGGTCTCAAACTCCTGGGCACAAGCAATCCTTTCTCTTTGGCCTCCCAAAGTGTTGGGATTATAGGCATGAGCCACTGCACCCAGCAATGCAGAATGATTCTTGTTCCTGCTTTTCAGATGAAGAAACTGAATCACAAAGAAGCTAAATAACTTGGCTCAAGGTCATGCAGCTGGTAAGTGGCAGTGCTGGGACTCGAAGACAGGCCTTCCGACTCTAGATCCTGTGCTCTGAACTGCCGTGTTATGTGCTATCTCTATTTAGCATGCATGCCACGCCGTTCTGCCAAACCCACTGCAGAGGCAATCACTGACCACAGTCTTTTTTTTTTTTTTTTTTTTGAGACGGAGTCTTGCTCTGTAGTGTTGGGATTATAGGCATGAGCCACTGCACCCAGCAATGCAGAATGATTCTTGTTCCTGCTTTTCAGACAAGGAACTGAATCACAAAGAAGCTAAATAACTTGGCTCAAGGTCATGAGTTAGGTGGCAGTGCTGACTCAAGACAGGCCTTCGACTCTAGATTCTGTGCTGAACTGCCGTGGTTATGTGCTATCTCTATTTAGCATGTGATGCCGCTGCTCTGCCAAACCCACTGCAGAGGCAATCACTGACCACAGTCTTTTTTTTTTTTTTTTTTTTTTTTTTTTGAGACGGAGTCTTGCTCTGTCACCCGGGCTGGAGTGCAGTGGCCGGATCTCAGCTCACTGCAAGCTCCGCCTCCCGGGTTTACGCCATTCTCCTGGCTCAGCCTCCCGAGTAGCGGGGACTACAGGCGCCCGCCACCTCGCCCGGCTAGTTTTTTGTGTTTTTAGTAGAGACGGGGTTTCACTGTGTTAGCCAGGATGGTCTCGATCTCCTGACCTCGTGATCCGCCCGTCTCGGCCTCCCAAAGTGCTGGGATTACAGGCTTGAGCCACCGCGCCCGGCCCACAGTCTTCTTTCTTGTGGAGCTTAGATGGTGCCTGAGTACTTCTCAGCATAATGCTTCAGGCAGACAGCAACTCAGCTGTCACCAATCTGCCACTCTTGGTTTGTCCACGAGGGGTTTAGGGGAAGATTTCTACCTAGACTGTGAGTCTTTGTCTTTTAATAGGGCAAGTTAAACCATTCACATTTACTGTGATTACTAACATGGAACTCATTCCTGCCATATAATTTTATGTTCCTTTGTGCTTTCTTGTATTTTTTCCTCCTCTCCCCTCTGCCCTATCCTTTAATGGTTTGGACATTTTTCATTCTATTTTAATTATTATAGAAAGTACTCTTACACTTTTTTTTTTTTTCTTTTGAGACAGGGTCTCATTCTGTTGCCCAGGCTGAAGTGCAGTGGCATGACCTCAGCTCACTGTGGCCTCAACCTCTTGGGCTCAAACAATCCTCCCACCTCAGCCTCTTGAGTAGCTGGGACCACAGGCATGCACCACCATCATGCTTCGCTAATTTTCTTGTTTTTTTTTTTTTTTTTGGTAGACAGGGTCTCACTATGGTTACCCAGGTTGGTCTGGGAATTCCTGGGCTCAAGCGATCTACCACCTTAGCCTCCTAAAGTGCTGGGATTATAGGCATGAGCCAAGGCGCCTGGCCTACATTTTTTTTTTTTTTTTTTTTTTTTTTTTGAGATGGAGTCTGGCTCAGTTGCCCAGGCTGGAGTGCAGTGATGTGATCTCTGCTCACTGCAAGCTCCGCCTCCCAGGCTCAGGCCATTCTCCTGCCTCAGCCTCCCAAGTAGCTGGAACTACAGGCGACCGCCACCACACCTGGCTAATTTTTTTGTATTTTTAGTAGAGGCGGGGTTTCACTGAGTTAGCCAGGATGGTCTCGATCTCCTGACCTCGTGATCTGCCCACCTCGGCTTCCCAAAGTGCTGGGATTACAGGCATGAGCCACTGTGCCCGGCCTGGCCTACATTTTTAACCTAAGCTTAAACTTATACTTTCTATCAATGTCCAAGGTTAATAAGTATCTCTTGTCTTTCCAAGGTAACAGCATGAAGATCCTTAGATCTCTGGCACAAAATCTTCTAGAGGAAGAACCTAGCTGCAGAACCCACAAGTTGTCTAGTGTGTCAGTGACAACTGTGATTCTCTTGGGGCCAGTGCGTGTCTTAGCCTAACTGACTGGGCTAGGGAAATATTTCAGTGGTTCCTGAGGCCAAAACCATACACACCGCCGCCCTGTTGCTGGGCTCTCACCCTTACCTTCAATCTCTGTACGATCTCCCTTATGTCCTCCACAGAGCCCTCTGTCGCCTGTAGGAAGATGTGGTCCCCACGTCCATAGAATATTTTGAGTGTGGAGGAGTCTGGAGTCCAGCCAATGACATCCCCGCAGTAGCAGTTGAACACCACCTCCTTGGTGCGTAGGTCCAGGAGCACCACAAACTCATTGGAAATTCCCAAAATGCAGTCGATTTCCACCCCCTGGGCGTAGTCCTGGGCTGCCACCCTCCAGGCAATGGCCCCTGCGCTGTGCTGCTCAGCGCCGGCCCGTGCTTTTGTCTTTTCCTTCTTCTTGGAGGTCAGGGAGATGAGGTTGAATTTGCCGGTGGAGTCGATGGGGGTGTTGGAGACACAGTTTTCGGCCAGGTCCTTGAGATACTCCTGGCGGGTCCTGGTGGCCATGGTGTGGAACTTGTCGGACTTGTGCGCGGCATTCTCAGCGTTAATCACCTTGGCCAGCAAGAAGTCTCTGAAGACGTCGGATTTGCGGAATGTGGTTCCACTGGGAATGGGGGGGCCGAAAGGAGGAGCGTCTTTGGATCGGGTCACAGCCATACTGTGGAGGGAGAGATTATTTAGATGGTGGGAAGAAAGGCACTAAGACACTTTAGAAAGAAAATATTCGATCAAAAAATAGGAATAGGGTTTTTTTGTTTGTTTTGTTTTATCGAGACAGGTCTCACTCTGTCACCCAGGCTGGAGTGCAATGGTGCAATCATAGCGCACTGCAGCTTTGACCTCCTGTCCTCAAGCAATCCTCCTGCCTCAGCCTCCCAAGTAGCTGGGACTACAGGCTCACACCACCATGCCCAGGCAATCTTGTTTATTTTTTGTAGAGAGGAGGTCTCACTATGTTGCCCAGGCTGGTCTCAAACTCCTGGGCTCAAGTCATCCTACCTCCTGGGCTTCCCAAAGTGTTGGGATTACAGGTGTGAGCCACCACACCCAGCCAAATGGTTTTCTTCTGAAGAATGAAAGCCCACATCTAATTAGTAAGTTGCTAGCTAACCAGATTCGAAATCTAATAAAAAGTCAGCTGGGTGCAGTGGCTCATACCTGTAATCCCAGCACTTTGTGAGGCTGAGGCAGGCAGATCACCTGAGGTCAGGAGTTCAAGACCAGCCTGACCAATATGGTGAAACCCTGTCTCTACTAAAAATACAAAAAAACTGGCTGGACGTGGTGGTGGGCGCCTGTAGTCCTAGCTACTTGGGAGGCTGAGACAGGACAACAGTGTGAACCCAGGAGGCGGAGGCTGCAGTGAGTCGAGATGGCACCATTGCACTCCAGCCTGGGGTACAGAGCAAGACTATGTCTCAAAAAACAAAAACAAAAACAAAAACAAAACAAAAAAGTGTTAGGGCACATACACATTTTCTATAAAGCAGATGTCTGAACATCCTCTGACATCAAAGGGTAACTCCCCAAGGACTGTCCAGTTATTCTTGTTTTAAATACACTTAGACTGTGTGGGAGATCAGATTACAGTTTGGCAAAAATCCACTCTCTCAGTGCAGTGGCGCGATCTCGGCTCACGGCAACCTCTGCCTCCTGGGTTCAAGCGATTCTCCTGCCTCAGCCTCCCGAGTAGCTGGGACTACAGGTACCCACTACCACGCCCGGCTAATTTTGTATTTTTAGTAGAAACGGGGTTTCTCCATGTTGGTCAGGCTGGTCTCGAACTCCCGACCTCAGGTGATCTGCCTGCCTTGGCCTCCCAAAGTGCCAGGATTACAGGCGTGAGCCACTGCGCCCAGCCTAAAGTTTACTTTTAAATTAAAAGATTTAAAAAGATTTAAATTGGGGAAGATATTAAAAAAAAAAAATCCACCCCCTCCTCTCCACCTTCTGAGGCAGGCACACCCCATGGATCTTGGTCATGTGATTTGATCTGGCCAACGGCTTCCAAGTTAAAGGTTTGAAGAGTGTGTGTGTGTGTGTGTGTGTGTGTGTGTGTGTGTTCCGGTAGGGGGACTGACTCCTAAGCACCTGCCATCACTGTGGGTGAACAGACCCCAAGTAGTCTACTGGTCCCAGAAGATGAGGGACCTCTGGAGCAGACCTGGAACCAAGTCCAGCCAAACTCCAGCAGACACGTAGATGTGTGAACCAGAAAGAAACATTAATGTTTGTCAGTGAGCTCTGGGGTGGTTTGTTATACAGCTTTACTGCACGAATAGCTGACTGATGTAGAATGTTTACGAGGTTTAGTTCTTTTGAACACTTGTGTGACACAAGTATATCTTGTAAGTCTTCTCAACAAAGGTTATTTTGAAAATTCATTCCATTCCTCTGGTAGATGCTGAGGTTTAAAGAAGAAAAAAAAAATAAAGGAAGTTCATTGTAATAGGAAGTTAGAATGGAACTCTTCCTGTTTCGGATTTGATGGAGGCACTATCATGATAGAAATAGGATAGCAACTCAGGAGAACGTAAAGAGAAAATAAGGCCTGGTGTGGTGGCACACACCTATAGTCCTAGCCACTCGGGAGGCTGAGGCAGGAGAATCACTTGAATCTAGGAGCGGAGGTTGCAGTGAGCCAAGAATGAGCCACTGCACTCCAGCCTGGGCGACAGAGAGAGACACTGTGTCAAAAAGGAAAAAAAAAGAGAAAATGATCTGAAAACTCCATTCCCCCAAACTCTTATACCTCATTTCCCACTATGTAAACTATGGAGAGAGAAAAGGAATTTGTGGAGAAAGCTGGGGGGTGAGTCCCATTCTCTCCCTACCCAACCCCCAGCAGGAGAGGTCCCCTAGGTAATGCTTTTTTTTTTTTTATCTTCCTGAGATGGAGTATCACTCTGTAGCTCAGGCTGGAATACAATGGCACAATCTCGGCTCATGCAACCTCCTCCTCCCTGGGTCAAGCAATTCTCCTGCCTCATCCTCCCAAGTAGCTGGGATTACATGCACCTGCTACCACGCCTGGCTAATTTTGTATTTTTAGTAGAGACAGGGTTTCACCATGTTGGTCGGGCTGGTTTTGAACTACTGACCTCAAGTGATCTACCTGCCCTGGCCTCCCAAAGTGCTGGGATTACAGGCATGAGCCACCGCGCCCAGCCCCAAGGTGATCCTTACAGCAGCGAGGGGACTGGGATCTGTCTCCTGCCTGTGTAGGAAGCCCTGGAAAAGCCCGGCAAGCAGCCAGCCAGCTCCAGCCACAATCCACATGGCACTTCCTTGCCTCCCTTTTCCTCCCTGCACTCCAACCCTGGATGGGTCAGAACCTGGCAGTGAGCAGGGCTGGGAGGAGAAGTACAAGGTGCAGAAGCAGGAAAGGTACCCAGGCTCTCCACCCATTGAGGCTTCTGGGCGGAAGGAGCCCTGAGCCCGGACAGGGAGAAGATCTGTTGATGAATCACATTTGGAGATTTGATGAATATCTTGGATGTGATGCTCTGATGACCAAATTAAATAGAGGCTCAGTGGCCTTTGGGCAGATTATTGCTAAAAGTGCACAAAAAGGCCAACGTACCTGCCAGAATATTCACTGACGGCAGGTGAGTTATGTTCTTCGTGTTTCTTTTATTATTATTTTTTGAGATGGAGCCTTGCTCTGTCACCCAGGCTGGAGTGCAGTGGCAAGATCTCAGCTCACTGCAGCCTCCACCTCCCAGGTTCAGTCAATTCTCCTGCCTCAGTCTCCAGGGTAACTGAGATTACAGGTGTGCACCACCATGCCTGGCTAATTTTTGTATTTTTTTTTTTTTTAATTTTTGTATTTTTGGTAGAGATGGGGTTTTACTATGTTGGCCAGGTTGCTCTTGAATTCCTGGCCTCAAGTGATCTGCCTGCCTTGGCCTCCCAAAGTGCTGGGATTACAGGTGTGAGCCAATGCACCCAGCCTGCCCTTTTCTCTCTTTTCTCTCTTTCTTTTGAGACAGAGTCTTGCCGCTATGTTGCCCGGGCTAGAGTGCAGTGGTGTGATCTCAGCTCACTGCAACCTCTGCCTCCTGGGTTCAAGCCTCCCAAGTTTAAGCGATGCTCCTGTCTCAGCCTCCTGAGTAGCTGGGATTACAGGCATGCACCACCACGCCCAGGTAATTTTTGTATTTTTAGTAGAGACAAGGTTTCTTTTTCTTTTTTTAAAATTCTTTCTTTTTTTTATTCTTCTAGAAATGGGGTTTCACCATGTTGGTCAGGCTGGTCTTGAACTCCTGGCCTCATGATCTGCTTGCCTTGGATTTCCAAAGTGCTGGGATTACAGGTGTGAGCCACCATGCCCGGTCTCTTTATATTTCTTAATGGCACAAGGTGATGCAATAAGTTAACTATGTTTTCCTAAAAATGCATGGTATTTTCACCCTTGATTAAAACCTCTATTTGTCAGTACAGTGTCAAGACAGAATTCCTACTGTTTCTCTTCCAACTGTAGGATAATTTTAAAAAATAGAGATTATGGATTAAAAATACTCCATGAAACTCCAACCCAATGACACGCTTGCCCAGGTTTTGTTGATTCCCTCCCCTTACCCCCAACTCTTGACAAAGGTGACAGTGTGACACTCATCCATTTGTTTGACAAACACGTCCTGGACTCCATGCTCTTGAGCATTGGTGATAACGTGGTCCCTGCCTTCCCAGAGCTTCTAGTCCAGGAGGAGGGACATACTAAATCAACACACAGAGATAAACTCATAAAGACGAGGAAAGGGAACAGGGCGTGTTATGACAAAACTAGAGAAAGACCTGATTTGGACAGGGAGAATCTGGGAGGGCCTCTCTGAGGACGTGATGATTAAGCTGGGAACTAAGGGCTGAGTGGAACCAGAGGAAGAGCTGGGGGAGAGTGCTGCAGCCAGGGGGTGCAGCACAGGTAGTGGCCGACTAGGGAAGGCCAGGGTGGGCAGAGCCCAGAAGGCAAGGAGCAGGAGGCCGTGAGGTCACCAGAGGCCAGGCCACACGGGGCCCTGGTAGGTTAGCACTTCCTATCCTTATCATGAGAGCAGGCAACCATTTAATGATCCGATCTGGTGGTGAAACCATTCCGTCTGCCCCCTCTGATCCAGTCTGCCATACTCTGCCCCGCTCTGTGCTCAGGAAGGAAGATCTCTCCAGCCGTGTCACCTGGGTTCCTGTGCCCTGGGAGTTTGGCCAATGGGAAGCACTGGCAGGGGATGAGAAGACAGGAGGAGAGAGGCTGGAGTATTTCTTTCTCTTCTCTTCCTCCCTGAGGGGCTGTGATGATAGCATCAATGGCTGTCATCTTTGGTCCCTTACAGCTACTGCTCCTGTTGGGCCGCCCCTCTCCCAGGGCCACAGCTCTCACCAGCTTTCAGAAACTTCTCCCGTCTCCCTCTGAGCCCATCAAGCCTTGGGGGTGGGTATAAGGCTGCATGCAGCATCTTCCCACACGGTTCCTGCAAGCTCCCCACACCTCTGTTAGTGGCATCAACTCCCTTTGGTTAAATCCTTGAGGGAGATCTGCTTCTCGCTGGGTTCCCAATGGAGGCAGACGCTGGCAGAGGGACAACAGATTGGCAGTCTGCGGAGAACACTGTGGCTGTCTCATGAAGAATGGACGGGAGGACGGGGCATGTGCAGGAGACCAGAGAGGGAGCTACTGCGGGACCCCGGCCGATCAGGCCAGACTCCTCGCTCTCCATCTCTGGCCTTGACTGTCTAGTGACCCTTCCCGCCCCAGGAGTGCCACGTGGCTGGGTGCTGCTCTGGGCTGAGTGGATTCCCCAGCACAGGTGCTCAATGCTGACTAAAGTAATGGTTTAAAAGTGGACAGACGAAACAGGTTTCTACCAAGGTATGGTGGGCACAGCTTTAACAGAAAAAGGCATTTTCCAGTGCGGACGTGCTTCAAAGAATGCCACACACACCAGGCAAATTTTCTTCTGTGGGAAATCTTGTGGGCATGGCCTTACCCCAGGCAGGGGGATGGATGAGATGACCTCCCCTGTCCCTCTCTCTACTGAATGGGGCAGTCAGATTGCACTTTACAGAGATGAAGAGCTCTGCAACTTCTTTTTTGTGTGTGTGTGTGAAACAGTTTCGCTCTTGTCTCCCAGGCCAGAGTGCAATGGCGTGATCTCAGCTCACTGCAAACTCTACCTCCTGGGTTCAAGTGATTCTCCTGCCTCAGCCTCCAGAGTAGCTGGGATTACAGGCATGTGCCACCATGACCGGCTAATTTTGTACTTTTTTCAGTAGAGATGGGACTTCTCCATGTTGGTCAAGCTGGTCTCGAACTCCTGATCTCAGGTGATCCACCTACCTCAGCCTCCCAAAGTGCTGGGATTACAGGCGTGAGCCATCGTACCCGGCCAAGCTTTGCAACTTCTTAATTTAGCACTTAGCTGCTTACAGTGACAGATTTTGGCTTTTCCTATATTCCTGATTCATGATTTTAGGAATCATAAAATTGCAAACGGCTGAAGGTTTTTGAGCCATCAGAACAGCTGGTCCTTTACTTCCCAGCAGGAGCGAAGTAAACTCTGTGGGTTTTGAGAGTCCACAGGCTGCAGGGATGATGCGGGTGGTCACTCGGAAATGGCACACTTGAAACAGAAAGGATGACAACTCACGACACAACCAGGAGACGAGGTGACCTGGTGGCCACCTAAACACTGGAGGGCAATAAGTGTTGCTAGAACACTCAGAATTATTTATTCAATCGTTATTTTTTCAGTGCCTACAACACTGGGGCCAGGCGTCTTTCCAGCAAGCAAAGATGGCTTTAGGGTCCACTGTGTGCCCAGCTCTGTGCTGTGACAGATACAGGAAGCTAAACATGACATTGGATGGGGTTACGGTCAAAAGAGGCAAGAGCCACGTAATTTTTTTTTTTTTTTTAGACAGAGTCTTGCTCTGTCACACAGGCTGGAGTGCAGTGGGGCTCACTCTAGCCTTGACCTCCTGGGCTCAAGCGATCCTCCCACCTCAGCTGGGATTACAGGTGCGTGCCAGCATGCCTGGCTAATTTGTAATTTGTTTTTATAGAGACAGGGTCTCCCTATGTTGTCCAGGCTGATCTTGAACTCCTAGGCTCAAGTGATCCTCCTGCCTCAGCCTCCCAAAGTGCTGGGATTACAGGCGTGAGTCACTATGTCCGGCCCATCATACCATTTTTATGGTGTGATGTGTGCTATGACAGAAACATGTTGGGCAATGGCAGTTGGAGCAGGTAAGGAACCACTGGAGGATGTCAGAGGCTCATCTGAGTTCAGTTTTTTTGTTTTTGAGATGGAGTCTTGCTCTGTCGCCCAGGCTGGAGTGCAGTGGTGCAATCTTGGCTCACTGCAACCTCTGCCTCCTGGGTTCAAGCGATTCTCCTCTCTCAACCTCCAGAGGAGCAGTTGTGATTACAGGCACCTGCCACGACACCTGGCTAATTTTTGTATTTTTAGTGGAGATGGGGTTTCTTTTTTTTTTTTTTTTTTTTTGAGACGGAGTCTCGCTCTGTCGCCCAGGCTGGAGTGCAGTGGCGCAATCTCGGCTCACTGCTAGCTCCGCCTCCCGGGTTCACGCCATTCTCCTGCCTCAGCCTCCCGAGTAGCTGGGACTACAGGCGCCCGCCACTGCGCCCGGCTAATTTTTTTTCTATTTTTTAGTAGAGACGGGGTTTCACCATGGTCTCGATCTCCTGACCTTGTGATCTGCCCGCCTCGGCCTCCCAAAGTGCTGGGATTACAGGCGTGAGCCACCGCGCCCGGCCGGAGATGGGGTTTCACCATGTCGGCCAGGTTGGTCTCCAACTCCTGACCTCAGGTGATCTGCCTGCCTCAGCCTCCCAAAGTGTTGGGATTACAGGTGTGAGCCACCGCACCTAGCCCTGAGTTCAGTCTTGAAGGACAATCAGAAATTCACTGAGTTGAGGGCCAGTAGTTGGTGGTTTCAGGAGAAGGTAAGCTGGGGAGCTGGGCCAGGCTCCCTCCACAGGCAAGAGGCAGGGTCAGGTCTGTCCAGAGAGCAGTGGCCTGTGGGGAAGGAGGGACGGGAAGGGAGGGGGATGGCTGAAGAGTCACTTCGGTTGTATCTCTAACATTTTCTTTCTTTAAAAGTGAAGGAAAGAGAGAGCTGAAGCAAACAAAGCAAAATGTTAACATCTGTTAAAGCTGGCGGTGGGCACATGGGTGTCTGTTAAATGATTTTCTGCATGTTTAAAATATTGCATAATAAAAACACTTTAAATTAAATTATAAAAAACAAGAAAGGTTTGTGTGTCAGAGAGAAGAAATCACTCTGGAGACCATGCAGGGGCGGGCCTGGAAGGGTGGGAGGTTGGCTGCAGGCTGATGTGATGACCCCAGTAGGAGAGGGGAGGTCAGAGTGGGGACGAAGAAGAGAAAGTCACCCCCGCGACCAGCTCAACCCCTCACCTGTGATGCATCATAAGAAGGCTGCCTCCTTTTCCAGTGTGTGCATGTGTATGTGTGCGTGTGCATGTATGCGTGTGCATGCGTGTGTGTGCATATGTGCATGTTTATGTGTGCCGTGTGTGTGCACGTATGTGTGCACGTATGTGTGGGCATGTGTTTGCATGCATGTGTGTGCATGTTTAGTGTGCCCGTACGAGTGCATGTATGTGTGCATGTGCATGTGTGCGTGGATGTGTGCGTGTGCGTGGATGTGTGTGTGCATGTGTGCGTGTGTGTGTGTGCATGTGCCTGTGCATGCGTGCATGTGCATGTGTGTAAATATCTCCCATCTCATCTAAGATTAGTCCTCAGCCCCACAAAGGGCCTGAGGCACAGGCACTCTGTAGCTGCTGCTGCATGTTCCAGGAACCGACGGGCAGGGGGAGAGGGGGCCTCAGGTCCCGGGACATGCCTGGAAGGAGGCCCTGCCACGAAGTGTGCTGGCTCCCAGTAGCCAGCGGGCAACACGTGCAGCACAGCAGTGCTTGACAGCCAGTGCTGCAGGCTGGGATGCCCCTCCCTTCCCTCGCCCAGCCGAGGGAGGCAGCTGGTAGACCCGTGGTAATTCCGCAGTGACTATCAGTGCATATATATACGTACTCTGCTCCAGCACCTCCATTTCTAGAATTTCTTTTACAGCTGTATGCTTGGACTCAGGCGCAATCAGACTATAAATAAGACTGTTCATTGCATCAGGCAACAACCCTAATACCCATCAGTAGAGGACAGGAGATGACCCCGCATCCATACAATGGAATGTGAAGCATCAGAAAGAACAAAAAGCACTTCATGTACAGGTAGGAAAAGATCTCAGCTGTGTGCGGTGGCTCACACTTACAATCCCAGCACTTTGGGAGGCTGAGGCTGGAAGATCGCTTGAGGCCATGAGTTCAAGACCAGCCTGGGTAAAACAGAGAGACCCCATCTCTACTAATTTCTTTTTTTTAATTAGCTAGGCATGGGGGTGTGCACCTGTAGCTCCAGCTACTCAGGAGGCTGAGGCAGGAGGATCGTTTGAGCCCAGGGGGTCAAGGCTGCAGTGACCTATGATTGCACCACTGCATTCCAGCCTGGGCGACAGAGTGAGACCCTGTCTTTAAAAAAAAAAAAAAAAAAAAAAACCCTAAACAACAAAAACCTCAATTCTACCTCCAAAGCAGGGCCCACCTCCACAGGCAGGCCCTGCTTCCCCCCGACTTTCCTGTGGGCCATCACTCGTGGCTCTCGGTCCTTGAAGCCCGGTGCCCAGGCCTGGCTGGTGATTCTGGCTCTAGGACAGGCACACAACTCCAACTGGGCCAGTGAGCCCCAGTTCAGGGGCTTCTGATGCAACTCCTGGGAAAGAAAAGCTCTCATTTTGGGGGATTTGCAGCTGGCAGGATGTTCACCTCAGAGCTGCTGGAAAGGTGACCCCCAGGAGAGGGGGGCAGATCCAGCCAGGCCTAACCATGCCATTTTTGAGAGCTTATATACACAACTGTCTTTTTGTCTCAAGCCACATTGAGATGGGTCTTCTGTCACTCGAAACAAAAGATTACAAGCAAATACAAATCCCTGATGGTTTCCTTAGCAAAACTGGGGAGCCATGCCCCTTTCTGGCAGAAAACCACGCTCTGAGATGGTGTGGGGAGTGTGCACTGTGCTCTCCTCCTGAAGCACAGCATGTGAGGTGGTGGGGGGCCTGTACTGAGACCCACTCGGGCCAGCTGCCTGCCCCTCTCTCTGTGCGCTGCTGGGGACTGGGTGTGGCGAGGCATACCTGTAGCAGACGTTATCAGTGCAGGGGTTGTGGACTCGGACAATGATGAAGACGTGCTGGAAGTGGGAGCGGATGTTCTTGGGGGTGAACGGTAGCGCGCCAGGCTCCTGGAAGATGATCGTCACGATGTCGTTCCCTATGTGCCTCTTCCGCAGCAGCTGGGAAAGGGCAACAGAGGGGGACAGGAACGTGTCACAGGTTGGCCTGAGGGGTCCTGCCTGGACCACTGCCACAGCTCCTTACTCACCCCCATTCCTGCTCCCTGCTCACACATAGCCCAAGGAACGAGCTTCCTGTGGTTCCCTCTCATTCAGGATAAAGGACAAACATCTTGCCATGGCCCGGCAGGCCCCCGTCACCTCTCTGACATTCCCCATGGCCCCTGCTCACTCTGCTGCAGCCACACCCACCTCCTGCTGCTCCTCAACCACGCCAGAAACACTTCTTTGAGGCCTCTGCACCTCTGTTCCCTCTGCTAGGAACATTCTTCCCCAGTCCCCACATGGCTTCCTTCCTCACCTCCTCTGGTCTTGCAGAAACCTCCCTCCCAGGGAGGCCTTTGCTGACTACGTTATCCAACATCCATCCCACCACAACACTCCCTGATGGTTGCTTTCCTGTCCTCATTACTTAACACTTATTGACACTCAGCACAGACGGTTTTCCCCCCTTCCTTTTGTTTCCTGTCTCTTCCCACTGAAGTGGCAGCTCCATGAGAACAGGGATTTTGTTCAATGCCCACCGCTGTACCCTCAGTACCCAGCACAGTGCCTGGCATACAGGAGGTGCTCAATAAATATGATCCAGAGAGCACAGGCTGGTGCCCTTCAACTTGCTCAAAGCCACACTCAGGGACAATGGCAGAGTCAGATCCCAGGTCCCTGGCAGGGCCAGTTATAGGCACCACCCCTTCCCTGGACCCTGACTGAGGTCAAGACGGCTGTGGCTTCCGAGTGCCCTATGGGACCCTCACCCTCTGATACAATTTGGCTGTGTCACCACCCTACAGTTCATCTTGAATTGTAGCTTCCGTAATTCCCATGCGTTGTGGGAGGGATCCGGTGGGAGGTAACTGAATCACGGGGGTGGGTCTTTCCCGTGCGGTTCTCATGGTAGTAAACAAGTCTCATGAGATCTGATGGTTTTATAAAAGGGTAGTTCCGCTGCACAAGCTCTCTTGCCTGCCACCATGGAAGACATGATTTTGGTCCTTCTTTGCCTTCTGCCATGACTGTGAGGACTTCCCAGCCATGTGGAGCTGTGAGTCCATTAAACCTCTTTTTCTTTATAAACTACCCAGTTTTGGGTAAATCTTCATTAGCAGTGTGAAAACGGACTAATACACCTTGTCTCCCCTGCTGGTCAGTCTCCGAGGAAGACTCTGTTATCATCACAGGTGACGTTGTATTCACGGTGTTTGGCTTATTTGCTGATATTATATTGTTCTTTTTTTTTTTTTTTTTGAGATGGAGTTTTGCTCTTGTTGCCCAGGCTGGAGTGCAATGGTGCTATCTCGGCTCACTGCAACCTCCACCTCCTGGGTTCAAGTGATTCTCCTGTCTCAGCCTCCTGAGTAGCTGGGATTACAGGCATGCGCCACCACGCCCAGTTAATTTTGTATTTTTAGTAGAGACGGGGTTTCTCCATGTTGGTCAGGATGGTCTCAAACTCCTGACCTCAGGTGATCCCCCCGCCTCAGCCTCCGAAAGTGCTGGGATTACAGGTGTGAGCCACCACGCCCAGCCTATTATACCGTTCTTATTTACACAGTTCTAGTATTCACATAACTGTTAAGGGATCTGTCAATGCAGGAGATCCATGGACGGGAGTCCCATGGAGCTCTAAGTGACGTGGCTCACAGTATGAACTCCAGACACGCTTTGCAGCTCAACTCCTACTGTTGAATGGTTAGTTCTTTATGTGTGTTTTAAGTGGCATTAAATCAAGTTGCTAAAGTAGCTATTGACTATGGCTGGTCCTGTACTAAACACTGTACAGCCGTCTCTTCAATTTATCGTCTCAATGAATCTCCTAACAACCCCTGAGATTCGTTAACTCACTTTGCCCCGTTTTACAGATGAGAAAACTTAGGCTCAGAGAGGTTAAGTAATTTTCCCTAAGTCATGTAGTGACGGAGGGAAAGAGCCTGGATTCTAACCCATTTCTTAACTCTACGACTCAAGCTTTTTCTCCAGCACGCCTCCCACTTACTCAGGAATGGGTACTGCTCCCTGCACCCCTCCTGCGTGTCGGGCCCTGTCATGCTCCAGTTGCCGCAGGAGTGTATGGACCTTTCTCAGAGACCCTGAGACAGGGGCACTACCATTCTAACCATTTTACACAGGAGGGACTCAAGGCCCAGAGAGGTGAAATCACTTACTTGAGATCGCACAGCTAGGAAGTAGCAAAGAAAGAACTCAAATTCAGGTCTAATTCTGAGATAACAGCCTCTTTCTTTTTGAGACAGAGTCTTACTCTGTTGCCCAGGCTGGAGTGCAGTGGCATGATCTCAGCTCACTGTAACCACTGCCTCCTGGGTTCAAGCAACTCTTGTGCCTCAGCTAGGACTATAGGCACATGCCACCACATCCAGCTAATTTTTGTATTTTTAGTAAAGACGGGGTTTCACCATACTGGCCAGGTTGGTTTCAAACTCCCGACTTCAGGTGATCTGCCTGCCTCGGCCTCCCGAAGTGCTGGGATCACAGGCATGAACCACTAAGCCTGGCTTAAGACCAAAGCTGTTAATAGCATGTTTTTAGATGAACCTTAGGAAATCAATATTTGACCATTTTTGGCCTATAATGTCACTTGTGCCAAACGGGAAAACATGTACACTTACTTCCTAAACTGTCAACACTCTGGGGCTTCCGTTCATTAGGAACTGGAAGAACTGCTCCGTGGGCCCAGCCTGCAAGCTGGGTCCAGGAGAGGAGTGGGTCACAGCTGCAGCCTCTTGGCAATGGGTGTTTAGTGGTGCTGCCCACCGAGTATCCCTGCCTCCTCCTGGCAGCCACACCCACCTAGTCTGCGAAAGCACCATCCCAACCTCCGTCCATGTTTCAAGTTGAGCTGGTGCCACTCACCCTCTCTGGGGTGGGCATGAGCCTCAGGCTTGGCCAGTCTGACCCTTCTACCCCCACCCCAGGCCCCGAGACTGGCATGTGAATGGTCCAGTGAGACTCAGTTCTGAAACACTTCCGGGACAACTGGAAAGAATAGCACTCTTTCTGCTGGGGTGGCTAAGCTGGTGGGATGTGAGCCTGGGGCTGCTAGGAGGTGTCTCTGCCCTGCACCTGTGAATAAAGCTGCTGCAAAGAAAAGCGGAGGTGAGAAATGGGGAGGATTCCTAATATTGTTGGAGTCCCTGGATCCAACCAGACCTGAGGCCAGCCCTCTCCAGAATCTTAAGAGTTATATAACCGAGTAAATCTCTTTCTAGTTAAGCCAGTTTGGTGTGAGTTTCTGTTACCTGCAGTCAAAATAATGTTGACTGATTCACTCTTCTTAATTTTTTTTTTTTTTTGAGACGGAGTCTCGTTCTGTTGCCCAGGCTGGAGCACAGTGGTGGGATCTCAGCTCACTGCAAGCTCCGCCTCCCGGGTTTACGCCATTCTCCTGCCTCAGCCTCCCGAGTAGCTGGGACTACAGGCGCCCGCCACCTCGCCCGGCTAGTTTTTTGTATTTTTTAGTAGAGACGGGGTTTCACCGTGTTAGCCAGGATGGTCTCGATCTCCTGACCTTGTGATCCACCCGTCTCGGCCTCCCAAAGTGCTGGGATTACAGGCTTGAGCCACCGCGCCCGGCCCACTCTTCTTCTTAAGACCAGTGATGACTCAAGAGGCCCTGGAGGGGAGTCGGGGTAGCTGGGGTCAAGCAGGGTGCCCAAAGAGCAGCAGGAAAGACTGGGGCCAAAGTGCCATCTCGAACCACACCTGGCCTGGTCTCTAACCCTCAGGGAAAATGACTACAGTAAAGATGGCCTCCAAGGCCAAGGGCCTCCATATGATCCATAGGACGGTACTGGGAGGGTCAATGCTGGTGGGTGGGCAGTCAATATCCAGCAGCCGTGCCTCTGCTGAAAATCACTGACCTGCTGCCTGTTGTTGGGGGTGTAAGGGAGCAGGGTGGAGACGTGGAACATGATCTCGTAGTCCTGGTACGTCGTGTAGAGGGAGTGGGTTCCCGTGGAGTCGGCTGAAACAGAAATGCCAGTTAGGACCCATGTTTCCAAAACCTCTGGGTTTTTGCCATATCCCACATACCATCTGTGCTGGTTTTTAACTTGGTGCTTTCACTTCAATCCACTCTTAAAAAATTAAATACATTGGCCAGTCGTGGTGGCTCATGCCTATAATCCCAGCACTTTGGGAGGCTGAGAAGGGTGGATCATCTGAGGTCAGGAGTTTGAGACCAGCCTGGCCAACATGGTGAAATCCCGTCTCTACTAAAAATACAAAAATTAGCCAGGCGTGGTGTTGGGCGCCTGTAGTCCCAGCTACTCGGGAGGCTGAAGCAGAAGAATCGCTTGAACCCGGGAGGCGCAGCTTGCAGCGAGTCAAGATCGCTCCACTGTACTCTAGCCTGGGCGACAGGGTGACTGTGTCTCAAAAAAAAAAAACCAAAAAAATTAAATACATTTAGATAAAAAGGAAACCCCATTGCTATGCACCCACCAGACTGGTAAAAATTAAAAAGTCTGACAGCACCAAGGGTTGGTGAGGATGTGGAGCAAACGGAACCCTTGAGGTGGCTGGTTAGGTGTGTAACGTGGTCTGAGCACTTCGGAAAACTTTTTAGCAATCTCACTTAAGCCTGCAGGTGGGCTTCATTGACAACCTAGCACTTCCTCTCCTCGGACCACAGCCCAAAGAAATCATGCACACGTGTCCTGGGATATGGGTACAAGAATCTTCACACGTCAGTCACAAGAATCGGTGAACACACTGGTCAATTCACACTGTGGAAAAATATACAGCCAGGAAAAGGAACGAGTCACGGCTGCGGCTTGGGGGAATCCTCTGAATGTTGAGTGAAAGATGCTGACACAAAGCAGCACACACGGCATGATCCCATTCATGTGACGTGCAAAAGCAGGTCAGAGTATACCAGTCAGGGATGTGTACGTAAGTAGTAAAATTATGAAGAAAAGCAAAGAAATGATTATCACTGAGAATCAGGATATGGGTTCTCTCTAATAGGAGGGAGGGTTATGACCAGGAAGAGGCAAACCTACTTATTGAGCCCATGTTTCAGAGGGGGAAACGGAGGCATGGAGAGGGAGTGCCTTCCCAAGGTCACGCTGCACTAAGCGGTAGAGTCTGGATCAGAACTCAGGCTGTCGGACTCCAGATCTGTTTTATTGTTGTTGTTGTTATTTGTTTTTGAGACAGAGTTTTGCTCTGTCACCCAGGCTGGAGAGCAATGGGGCAATGTGGGCTCACTGCAACCTCTGCCTCCTGGGTTCAAGCAATTCTCCTGCTTCAGCCTCCCGAGTAGCTGGGATTACAGGCGCCTGCCACCATGCCTGGATAATTTTAGTATTTTTAGTAGAGACGGGGTTTCACCACGTTGGCCAGGCTGGTCGAACTCCTGACCTCAGGTGATCCACCTGCCTCAGCCTCCCAAAGCGCTGGGATTACAGGCATAAGCCACTGTGCCCGGCCTCCAGATCTGTTCTTAACAATATTCAATGCTGCCTCAGTGTCTGGTGGGGACACTGAGGCCACAGCTGCTAGTGCCAGAGCCAGGTCGGGAGCCAGGTAACCTCAAGGTGTCTGCTCAAGCCAGGACCATCCCTGCCTGTAATTTGGGGAGACTACTTCTAGGAGCACTACGCTTCCTGGGGTCCTCTGCAAGAACGCACTTCCTGGCCAGGCATGGTGGCTCACGCCTGTAATCCCAGCACCTTGGGAGGCTGATGTGGGTGGATCACCTGAGGTCAGAAGTTCAAGACCAGCCTGGCCAACATGGTGAAATCCCATCTCCACTAAAAATACAAAATTAGCTGGGTTTGGTGACACGCGCCTGTAATCCCAGCTACTCAGGAGGCTAAGGTGGAAGAGTTGCTTGAAACCAGGAGGTGGAGGTTGCAGTGAGCCAAGATCGCTCCACTGCACTCCAGCCTGGGTGACAGAGCAAGACTCTGTCTCAAAAAAATGAAAAACAAAAAAACCAAAAAAAAAACCAAACAATACTAACACTCACACCTGCCAGCTTCCTCCATGCCAGGCAAGCCCAGTGAGGCCTGCTGCCTCCCTGCCCGCCTAGGGGGACACCCACACTGGCAGAGCTCTGGGAAACACCCGGCACAGAGGGAGGGCTCAGGATGTTTGGGGCAATGCTGTCCCACGGAACCCTCACCATGCAACCGTGCTTCCAAGGTTAAGTGCAATTATTACCTTCACTCTACAGATGAGGAAACTGAGGTCAAGAGAGGCAAAGCCACCTGTCCAAGATCATGAAACTAACAAATGGCATAATATCATGCTCGTTCCTCCTACAGCCTCCTTTAGCAGGGGAGGAGGGGAAGGTGGTGATGGCCTCAGGCACCGGCCTAACACTTCACTTCTCTAATATTTGTCTCCTGATCTGGGCTTCTGTTTTCTAGAAGAGCAAACTGGGTCTTGGTGAGGTGTGGGGCAGAGCAATTGACTGAGCCATCTCGGGGCCTTCTCACTCCCAGCCGATGAAAACCCACCCCCAAGGACAGTGGCAGTCCATTCCCCAGGGAGCTGTGACACCTGTGAACATCACCCATCCACCCGCCTAACTACTGCTCATGAAACATTTCGATCCTATACGTCATATCCAAATATATTTTTTTCTTTCTTTTTTTTTTAATTTTTTTGAGATAAAGTTTTGCTCTTGTTGCCCAGGCTGGAGTATAGTGGTGTGATCTCAGCTCACTGCAACCTCTGCCTCCAAAGTTCAAGCGATTCTCCTGCCTCAGCTTCCCAAGTAGCTGGGATTACAGATGTGTGTCACCACACCCGGCTACTTTTTTGTATTTTTAGTAGAGATGGGGTTTCACCATGTTGGCCAGGCTGGTCTCCAACTCCTGACCTCAGGTGATCCATCCGCCTCAGCCTCCCAAAGTGCTGGGATTACAGGCGTGAGTCACCACGCCTGGCCCCATATATCATATATATTGATGTACACATACGCATGATATGCACAGAGACTGCGGCAACAAATACATCCCATGTGCCACCACCTTAAGAAACAGACCACCACTCACACTCTAATGTGAGCACCGCTCCCCAGACACACCCGCCTCTCCCCAGACAGCCAACCACTATCCTATGTATTGTCTCCAGCGTTCCCTTTTTTTTTTTTTCCTATGATTGATTGATTGATTGACTGATTGAGACGGAGTCTTGCTCGTTCTGTCACCTAGGCTGGAGTACAGCGGTGCGGTCTCAGCTTACTGCAACCTCTGCCTCCTGGGTTCAAGAGATTCTCCTGCCTCAGCCTCCCAAGTAGCTGGGATTACAGGTGTGAACCACCATGCCCAGCTAATTTTTTTGTATTTTTAGTAGAGACGGGGTTTCACCATGTTGGTCAGGCTGGTCTCGAACTCCTGACCTCAGGTAATCCACCCGCCTTGGCCTCTGAAAGTGCTGGGATTACAGGTGTGAACCACTGCATTTGGCCTATTTATTTGTTTATTTATTTACTTATTGAGAGGGAGTGTTGCTCTGTCACCCAGGCTGGAGTGCAGTGGCATGATCTCGGCTCACTGAAACCTCTGCCTCCTGGGTTCAAGCCATTCTCCTGTCTCAGCCTTCCCAGTAGCTGGGATTACAGGCACGCACTACTATGCCCAGCTAATTTTTGTATTTTTAGTAGAGATGGGGCTCCACCATGTTGGCCAGGCTGGTCTCGAACTCTTGACCTTGTGATCCACCTGCCTTGGCCTCCCAAAGTGCTGGGATGATAGCTGTGAGCCACTGTGCCCGGCCTAATTATTTATTTTTTTGAGACAGTGTCGCTCTGTCACCCAGGCTAGAGTGCAGTGGTGCAATCTCGGCTCACTGCAACCTCCACCTTCTGGGTTCAAGTAATTCTCCTGCCTCAGCCTCCTGATCAGCTGGGACTACAGGCACACGCCACCATACCACCATACCCGGCTAATTTTTGTGTTTTTTAGTAGAGACAGGGTTTCGCTATATTGGCCAGGCTGGTCTCGAGCTCCTGACCTCGTGATCTGCCTGCCTCAGCCTCCCAAAGTGTTGGGATTATAGACGTGAGCCACCGCGTCCAGCCTATTTATTTATTTTTGAGATGGGGTCTTGCTCTGTTGCCCAGGGTGGAGTGTAGTGGCATGATTTTAGCTCGCTGCAGTCTCAAACTCCCAGGTTCAAGCAATCCTCCCGCCTCAGCCTCCCAAACCTGGTGGCATGAGCCACCATGCTTGACTCTGTTTTTCTTTAGAGTTCCACTATATAAGAGCATATCCCCAAACAATATATGGCTGGTGGATTTTTTTTTTTTTTTTTTTCCCAGAGACAGGGTCTTGCTTTATTGCCCAGGCTGGTCTTGAACACCTGGCCTCAAGCAATCATCCTGCCTTGGCCTCCAAAAGTGTTGGGATTACAGGTGTGAGTCATCCTGCTGAGCCTGCTGGTTTTTGCCAGTTTTTTATTTGCTAGTTTTGGCTCATATGTGTAGTTCCAGCACTTTGGGAGGCCAGGAATCCCTGGAGGCCTTGTGTTTGAGACCAGTCTGCGTAACATAGCGAGACCTTGGCTCCATAAAAAAGAATAATTGGCCGGCACGGTGGCTCACACCTGTAATCCCAGCACTTTGGGAGGCTGAGGCAGGCAGATCACGAGGTCAGCAGTTCGAGACCAGCCTGGCCAATATGGTGAAACCCCATCTCTACTAAAAATACAAAAACTAGCTGGGCATGGTGGCACACGCCTGTAGTCCCAGCTACTCGGGAGGCTCAGGCAGAATAATCCCTTGAACCCAGGAGGCAGAGGTTGCAGTGAGCTGAGATTATGCCACTGTACTCCAGCCTGGGCAATAGAGGGAGACTCTGTCTCAAAAAAAAAAAAAAAAAAAAAAATTTGTTATGTGAAAGGCATCATTCAGGTCCCACTCTTCTGAGGTTTGCTGTCTTTGCACAGCACGAAGCATGCAGCTCTCTTCCATGCTGATGCCCTTGGTGCCAGTTCATCTCCGCTGGGTGAATACACCGCAACTCTGCCAGTGTGCATTGGGTACACCGAGGTGCCGGTGGTTAGGGATATTCAGTTCTCTCCTGCCGTGCACGTGTGCATTAGACAGAGTACACACTTGGAGTGCAGGAGCTGAGTCACAGAGCAGGGTCTCTTCAAACTGGACTTGAATGTGCTGTACTGTTTTCCAAAGTGGCTGCACACGGCCAGGCGCAGTGGCTCACACCTATAATCTCAACACTTTGGGAGGCTGAGGTGGGTGGACCATTTGAGGTCAGAAGTTTGAGACCAGTCTGGCCAATATGGTGAAACCCCGTCTCTACTAAAAATACAAAAAGTAGCCAAGTGTGGTGGTGCACACCTGTAGTCACAGCTACTTGGGAGGCTGAGGCAGGAGAATATTGTTTGAACCTGGGACGTGGAGGTTGCAGTGAGATGAGATCACGCCTCTGCACTCCAGCCTGGGCCACAGAGTAAGATTCTGTCTCAAAACAACCACCACCACCAAAAAAAAAAAAAAAAAAAAAGGAAAAAAGAAAAAAGAAAATGACTGCACTTATTTGTGTTCCTACAAGTCTGAGAGCTCCACAGCTCCACTGCTCCACGTCCCCACCCTGGCATCCCCAGACCTTTTAAGCTTTGCCCGTTGAGTGGGCGTGCAGTGGTGGCTCACTGTGATCTAACTGGCCCCCCACTTACTCTTGACGTCCAGCTGGGCAGCGTACTTGGTGAAGCCCTTCAGGCAGACCTTCTCGCCGATGAGGGAGAGGAACTCCTCGAAGGCGGGGCCAGCCTCCTCGTTGTTGTACATCTCCTCCTCGGAGCTCTGGCCAGCCTTGCAATAGAGGATGCCCACCTTGTGCTTCCGGCAGAGCTGCAGAGGCAAGAGTGGCTTTGTGGAGGCAGGCCAGGCAGAGATGGCAGAGGGAAGGGAGCAAGGGGTATGTCTGAGGCCTTCAGCCCTGGGAGCTGCTGGGACCACTCGAGAACCCAGAGCCACAGCCAGACAGGGAGGAAAACAGTGTTGGGGCATGGCGGCATGTCCCAGTTGTCCCTTTCCCTCCCTCCCCTCCCACAGAAGCACAGCGAGGTGTCCAGGCTGCCTCTTCTCGCTATGGCGGGTGGAGGATGGCTGGTGATGCCACGCTTGCATGAAAGAGACTGTTGCCTTGGCCGGCTTCCCACAGTAGGTGGAATGCTTCCCACAGTAGGTGGACTGGGATGGGCTGAGATTCTGCAAAAGCAAAATCTGGAGGGCTCAAGGCTTATAGTCAATAGCTTTTTTTAGGGAGTGGGCTCCCAACAACCATGTTTGCTTTAGGTATCTCGGATTCCCCTGGTCACTGGTGACTGGGCCACGGTCAGCCACCTGACCTACGCATAGCCCAATTGATGGCTCTCCTGTGACCAGGGTCAGCTTGCTGGGGTCTGCCTGTGGCTGGAATTCTAACAGACTGGGAGCTGTGGGAGAGGCGAGAGAAGCAGAGGGAGCCAGCGTGTGGAGCGGGGAGGAAAGACACGCTAACCCCCCACCACAGACACATATACACATGCACACATGGGGACCTAGCAGCGATCTCACCCCCAGACGATCTCCCTCCTTTAGGAGACCCAGTTACATTCCTGCTCTTGGCACCACTAGAATTTGATTCGAATCCCTCCTTTTGCTGAAACCAGCTTAAGTAGGTTTCTGTTACTTGCAAAGAAAAAAGGATGTGACCAAGATAGAAAAAGGTACCAGGAGTGGGGTTGCAAGCTACTGCCCCTGCAGCGCCCTGACCTCCAGCCCCTGACTCACCCCTTGCTCATCGAGCTTCAGCAGTTGCTCCGTCACCTTGGGGGTGTTGAGGGCCAGCCGCAGGCAGTGGATGTTCAGCTCGGGGATGACGTACTCCAGAGCATCCTTCAAGGGCAAGCCCCGCCCGGTCCCATGCTTGGTGGCTGTGGGCGTGGCATCTTCCAGGATGGAGCCCCGCAGGGTGATGAGCTACTCAAGGGAGAGAAGGGAAGGTTAGGGGGCTCTTGGGACCTAGAAAGGGATGACAGCATACGAGAGACATCTTGTTTTGAAAGAGACATGTGTGATGATTGGAAGTTTGTGCTCTAAGGTCAGAAAGTCCTAGGTCTGAGGCAGAACTTGAACCTGTTGCCGCCTGGCTGTGTGGTCTTGACCAAGTGACTTCGTATCTCTGAGCCTCAGCTTGCTCTTTTGTGAAATGGGTACAGGATGGTATCGTAACCTTGAAGGGGTGTTGAGAGGATTAAATGAGACAATAATGTAAACTACATCTGTTCAACATATATTGGCTGAATGCCTCCTTTGAGGCACTGAGTCCTATTCTAGGTGCAATGAACAAAGACGCTTGTCCTTGTGGAGCTAACACTGGAATGGGACAGAAGAATTCTGTAAGGTAGTAGGGAGTATAATGAAGAAAACAGGTCCTACCAGGAGGAGGTGGGCTCTTGTCCTTATTACAGTAACACTGTATTATGTACACATTCCTGTAAATGCTTATGTAAAACACCCGCCTGCCTTGAATACTGGCACCACCTCGGATCTTGAACTGTGGCACTGGTTTCCGACCAGTTTCATTAAAAAAAAAAAAAAAAAAAAAAAAAAAAGCCTGGGTACAGTGGCTCACGCCTGTAATCCCAGGACTTTGGGAGGCCGAGGCGGGCAGATCACGAGGTCAGGAAATCAAGACCATCCTGGCTAACAAGGTGAAATCCCGTCTCTACTAAAAATATAAAAAATTCGCCGGGCGAGGTGGCCGGTGCCTGTAGTCCCAGCTACTCGGGAGGCTGAGGCAGGAGAATGGCGTGAACCTGGGAGGCAGAGGTTGCAGTGAGCCGAGATCACACCACTGCACTCCAGCCTGAGCGACAGAGCGAGACTCTGTCTCAAAAAGAAAACAAAAGAAAAAAAAAAGGGTCAGGTGCAGTGAATCACACCTGTAATCCCAGCACTTTGGGAGGCCAAGGTGGGCGGATCACTTTGAGGTCAGGAGTTTGAGACCACCCTGGCCAAAATGGTGAAACCCCATCTCTACTAAAAATACAAAAATTAGCCAGGCATGGTAGCACGTGCCTGTAATCCCAGCTACTTGGGAGGCTGAGGCAGGAGAATCACTTGAACCCGGCAGGCAGAGGTTGCAGGGAGCCAAGATTGCACCACTGCACTCCAGTCTGGGTGACAGAGCAAGACGCAGTCTCAAGAAATAAATTAAAAAAGGAAGAAAAACACTACCAGTGATTCTAATTTGGATGGTATGGGATGGGGCCAGACACGCATGTTTGTATACATGACATATTTTTAATCCATCTCAGGTGCTTCTGATGGGCAGCCAGGGATGAAAACCTTTGGACAAAGCCAGTCACAGCCATCTCACTCCCATTCCCCAGATGTTGCTTTCCTAGGTTTTCCTATAGACAACCATGTGACCAATTCCAGGCAATAAGACGTGAGGGGAATTGTGCTTGGTGAGGACTTCTGGTGCATATTTCTCTCTAATAAAAGGAAAGCCCCCTTTGGGAGGCCAAGGCGGGCGGATCACCTGAGGTCAGGAGTTTGAGACCAGCCTAACCAATGTGGTGTAACCCCGTCTCCACTAAATACACAAATATTAGCAGGGTGTGGTGGCATGTGCCTGTAATCCCATCTACTTGGGAGGCTGAGGCAGGAGAACCGCTTGAACCCAGGAGGTGGAGATTGCAGTGAGCCGAGATCGCACCATTGCACTCCAGCCTGGCAAGAAGAGCCAAACTCTATCTCAAAAAAAAAAAAAAAACATAGATGTGAGGCCAAATAAATTATCACAAAGTGAATACCTGGGTAATCACTATCCAAATCAAGAAATGCATTTCCAGTACCCACAGCCCTTTTGTACCCCCTTCTTTTTCCCCAAAGGTAACTATATCCTGATCTTCAACACCACCATTTATCATTTATTTCTGTCTATTTTTGAACTTCATGCAGTTTGTATTTTTTTGTTGTTGTTGTTCTTTTGAAGACAGGGTCTCATTCTGTTGCCCAGGCTGGAATGGAGTGGCACAATCATGGTTCACTGCAGCCTTGACCTCCTGGGCGCAAGAGATCCCCCTGCCTCAGCTTCCTGAGTAGCTGGGACTATAGGCATGTGCCACCATGCCTGGATAATTCTGTATATCTTTTGTAGAGACAGAGTCCCACTATGCTGCCCAGGCTGGTCTGCAACTCCTAGGCTCAAGTGATCCTCCCGCCTCGGCCTCCCGGAGTCCCGGGATTACAGGTGTGAGCTACTGCGCCCAGCCAGGCAGTTTGTATTCTTTTGTTATCTGGCTTCTTTCTCTGAATCCTACATATGTGAGATGCAGCCACGCTGTTGCGAGAGGTTGATGTTTTACTTTGATAGGTTTGGTCCTTTTCACATTGGTAAGCACCAGAACCGCTTCCAGTATTTGCCAACTGTGAACAGTGCTGTTAGGAACCCTCACAGAAGCACCTCAGTGCACATGAACATGTTTTCTTTTGGTTTTATACCTAGGACAGAAATTGCTAAACCACCAGGCATGCTAATCTTCAATTTTACCGAACTGCCAAATAGTTTTCCAAGTGGTTGTACCAATTTACACCCCACCAGCCCTGTATGAGCCCCTGCTGCTCCACATCCTCACTAACACCAGCTCGTGCCTGTAGCCACAGCATGCTGCTGGCCACCAGGTCATGCCACTCACAGGACCAGCACCACACCAAGAACGCACAAAGAAAAATCCCTCCCCAGGGGACTTGTTACAAGCACCCAAAGTACACTTGGGGCTGCGGTCTAAAGACTAAGGAGGAGGCCAGGTCTGGTGGCTCACGCCTATAATCCCAGCACTCTGGGAGGTTGAGGTGGGCGGATCACCTGAGGCCAGGAGTTCGAGACCAGCCTGGCCAACATGATGAAACCCCATCTCTACTAAAATAGAAAAATTAGCCAGGCAAGATGGCTTATGCCTGTAATCCCAGTTACTCGGGATGCTGAGGCAGGGGAATCACTTGAACCCAGGAGGCGGAGGTTGCAGTAAGTTGAGATTGTGCCACTGCACTCCAGCCTGGGCGACAGAGTGAAAGACTCCATCTTAACAACAACAACAACAACAAGACTAAGAAGGATAAGTATTAACTGCAAAAACATGCTTGCCTAAGTCAAAAAACACAAGAGGTGGCAAAAAAAACATGTCATGACTTCGCCTCTAAGCACACAGCCCACTACCCTCGCCAAATAGCACCTGGGCGAGAGGTATGTGTGGAAGGAATAGAATGATACCACTTCTGGCCCTGGTAATTAATAAACAAACAAATCTCTCTCATCAGAAGCAGGGTAGTGTTGAAATCGATCATGAAAAGCAATAGTGTCAGGGGCTTTGCCCTGTCAATCTGGGTGGCCCTGGGGTTGTGGGTTTCAGTTAAGGCACCAACAGGATCAGTGTCTTTATATCCCATTGACACTGTCCCACAGTGCCCTCTGCTGGGAATGAGGGACAGCACGGACCAGAAATCATTCTTCTTCCCTTGAGACCGGTGGCTTACCGTCATATTTTGGCTCTGACCACCTCATCAGCGCGCACTACTTGAAAAGCTCTTTCTGCACTGGGGACAGTAAGTGCGACGCTGGCAGGTCATGAGTGGCCACCTCACTCTCTACCTGGTCACCCCCACCATCACCTCCCACCTGGACAGCAGCCTCCTCCAGGTCTCCCTGCCCCTGCCCTGTCTGTCCCCAGTCCATTCCTTCTACAGCTGCCCGAGTCAGGTCACAGCCCTCCTCTGCTCAGAGCCTGAAAACATCTGGCATCAGCTGGTCAAGGGCAACAAATCAAGTGAGCTATGAAAGGCACACAGTGCCACGCGAGCAAGGAGGTTCCAGCTGGTACAGGTTATCCCCACTCACTCTTGACTCAGACGCGCTCCCCGCTTGACTCTGTGCTGGGCGGCGGGTGTACCCTTTAAGAACATTTCCTAGGAGGTTACTTAGGAGGTGGTCTGCCTGGATTTGAATTCTAGCTCTAGCTCCTCCCTAGCTGTGTGATTCTGGGCAAGCCACTTAATTTCCCTATTTCCTCATTGACAAAATGGGGATAAAAATGCCTGCCTCAAGGCATTGAAAGGATTCAAAAAGATCTGTGTATAATGCTTAGCGCTGTATCTTGGGCATAGAGTAAGAGCTCAATGTGTGTTAACCACTATTATCTGTAGATGAGTGTTAATGTTTATGTACAAAGTCACATGCATAGTTAATAGTTTTAAATTTTTTGTTTCTTTTTTATTTGTTTTTGGAGACGGAGTTCCGCTCTTGTCGCCCAGGCTGGAATGCAATGGTGTGATCTTGGCTCACTGCAACCTCTGCCTCTTGGGTTCAAGTGATTCTCCTGCCTCAGCCTCCCGGGTAGCTGGGATTACAGGTGTGTGCCACCACACCCAGCTAATTTTCGTAGTTTTAGTAAAACCTCCCATCCCATGGTTTTGCCATGTTGACCAGGCTGGTCTCAAACTCCTGACCTCAGGTGATCCACCTGCATAGGCCTCCCAAAGTGCTGAGATTACAGGCGTGAGCCACCATGCCCGGCAATTCACTTATTTTTAATAGAGACAGGGTCTCGCTATGTTGCCCAGGTTAGTCTCAAACTCCTGGGCTCAAGCAATCTTTCTCCCTCGGCTTTCCAAAGTGCTGGGATTACAGGTGTGAGCCACTGCACCTAGCCGAGTTTTAAATTTTTTAACCTTAAGCAGGAAGCTACATTTTTTTGCTTTTCCCCCTACTTAACAATATGCTTTGGATATTGTTCATTTAAACACACACATGGCCAGGTGCAGTGGCTCATGCCTGTAATCTTGGCATTTTGGGAGGCCAAAGGAGGAGGGTTGCCTGAGCCCAGGAGTTCAAGACCAGCCTGGGCAACATAGTGAGATTCTGTCGCTAAAAATAAAACAAAATTATTAGCCAGGCATGGTGGTGCATGCCTGTG